GAGGTTTTCAATGAGGGAACTCTTAGCATTACAGCAAAGCCATTTTTATTTCATAGGACTGCTATAAGCATTATCAGAGATTGAGGATCCTAGATCCCTGGTCCCTGGACACTCTCACTGTGGCAAACAAAATATATCTTGTATTTCTAAATGCCCTCTAGAGTAGTGAACCAACTGTATCAATCAAAATAGGCTAGATTATGCTACAATAAATAACTACTTCAAATCATTTACTTCTCCCTCACCCAACTTATCCAAAACAGGTAAAGAAAAGTATTCTGTTTATTATAATGACCAGGGAGGAACAAGGCTGATGAAGCTCCATCTTGTATGTACGTCCATAATCACTATGACTGTGGTGATCATACAAGTGTTTAAGGAGACAGCAGAGCAAGGGCATATCCAAATGAGTCAGCAATGTAATTCTGGAAGTTGAAGGCCACACCTTGAATTACAAAACCTAAATCTCTAGGTTCCATTGACTTAGTTTTGTTCCATGAACAAAAGAAGGTAGATTTAAATAAGAAAATGCACTAAGAAGCCATGTATACAGGAAGCACACTGTCGTTGTAGCAGCATAGGAAGAGAAAACTTTGAGTGGTAGAAGTTTTAAAGAGCATATGATTTCAATTGGATTTTCAGAGTGCAGGGAGAAAAAGTAATGCTTCTAAATTCTTTTTATGAAATAGACCTAAAACTTATCTTCTAAATCAATTAGGATTGCCAAAAAGAAAACTATCAACCATATATCAAAGGTTCACCATCAGGCACTGATAATTCAATGTTAGGATATATGGAAATAGACCTTTTGCATTCAAACACAAGCAGTTAGAAGACACACAAACAGAAAAATTCCTTAGTTTCAGTAACAACACAAAAGATAAAATGCCTGAGAGAAAATATATGAGATCATTATTTTTTTTTAAAAAAACTTTAAAATGACACAAACTAAGATATGAACAAAAGACAAAAGCAGCCCATGCCCTCAGATAGGATGACTCAACATCATAAAGATGTCAATTCTCCCTAAATAAAACTACAATATTCACCCAGGTCTAATAAAAATGTCAGCATCATTTTGTCAGAATAATCACGCTGAGTCAAAAGTTCATGTGGAAAAATAAACAAGTAAAAATAGCCAAGAAAGGTCTATAACAGAAGAGTAGTAATGGGGAAGGCAGTGTTCAAGTATTAACACATTGCAGAGCTTCAGTACTTAAAATAGTATAATAATGTCACACAAATAAACTGACAATTCATGGAACAGAATATGAAGCCCGGTAATAGACATAGATCTATATGTGGCATTTTAGAAAAAGTGGCATTGCATATATGTGGGGAAATGGTGGATTATTTAATAAATAGTGTTGAGAAAAATGAAAATGAGTCAGAAAGAAGAAAAGGAAAAGAAGATTTGGCTCATTTCATGACACCTAATAATAAGATAAATTCCAATGTATTAAACTTTGAAATATAGTGACAAAAAGATTCAAATACCAGAGGAAACCATAAGAAGTAGACCTTAAGCTATAAAAGGAAAGATTGGCAAATACAATTAATTACATGTTTTTAAAATGTGCATGTTAAAAAGTACAAGCAAAATCAATAGGCAAATATCAAATTGGGAGGACAAAAACATGAACTTATATCACAGGCATAAGTTTAATCTCACTAATGTATAAAGAGTTTTCAGAAGTCAATGAGAAAAAGACAATCTAACAAAAATGGACAAAAAATATTAAAGTTCACAGAAAAGGAAATGCGAATTGTTTTTAGACATACATTAAGAAACTCACTCATAATATATATATATTAACATATATATATATATATACATATATATATATATATATATAAAACTTAACCATTCTCACCTTCCTTAAGATTGGCAGAGATCAAAATTCAATAATTGAATCTATGTAGAAATGTGGTGAGGACACAGGTCTCATAATTGTTGGTAAGAGTATAAATTGGTATGACTTCTGTGAAAAGTAATTGGTAATGTACATCAAGGTAACAAATACTCTACCCTTTTAGAAATATATTCTAAGATATAATCATATGCTTATTATACGATGTTATGCACAGGTTATTTACTGTGGCACTACTTGTAATAGTAAAAGAGTGGAAGAAGCCTAAATGTCCTTTAATATCTATCAATATGAGAATAGTTAATATGACTCATATGGAATAATCTCCAAAATTATTGGAATACACACATTTACAGAGACATCTCTAAAAATACATATAAGACATTGATAAGACTGACTGTGTTAGGAAGGGGAAGGATCTGGGTGACTGGGAGAGGAATGTGAAGAAAAATTTTTAGTATATATGTAATTGGAGAGGTCATAAGGCCTTGTGAGCCATAACTGCCAAAATGAACTATAGAGATAATAAATAGTCAAATGAATAAATACAATAGAGATAATGACATAAAGTTAGGTTTCAACCTTATCCCTTTGTACTATCAGCATAATGCACACTTTTTCCTCCAATTCCAGTTTTGCTTGTTTTCATTCATCTCAAACCTCATGATTTTATTTATCAAGAGATATCATAAGTTTTCTAACAAATTTCTAAACAACATACCTCAATTTCAATATGTACTAAGTGTAGTTCTAAAATATGAGTTCCATAGAAACCACTGTTGAGTTTTGGAGGGCTATCACAATTAACAAACAAACAAACAAACAAACAAAAAAGAAAAACACACACAACTTAAAATCATTCATTGGAGACAATCATAAGAAAACAAGCACATCCTTTGCAATTACTTTTAAAAAACAACAACAGTGGTTAAAATAAAATCTTGTCTGTTACTTGGGAAATATATTATGGGCTATTTTAATAATATTTGTTTGGAAGAACTTATTTGCATAACCCATGGACACAAACAATAGAGTGGTGAAAGCCTGGGGTGAGGGTGGGGGCCTAGAAAGGCCCAATGGGGGAAGAGGACATATGTAATACTTTCAACAATAAAAATTTTAACATTAAAATAATATTTGTTTGGAGAATTAAATATGTCCTTTCCAGGCATTCTTAATTGTGATAAGCACACTAAAAAAATAATAATCTTTTATATGAAATATAAATTAGTATAGTCACACGTCAAACAACTTTGGCATCTATGGAAATGCACAATTCCAGATAGTGGAATATAAGAAAGTGTTGAAATTTCAATTTCTATTATTTTATCTTAGTCTATACAATAAAGTAGTATATAATACATAATTTATAATAAATAGGCATATAGAAATGCTATTGTGTGCTCAATCTTTTTTATTCATAGAGGTGTATAATCAAAATGTTTGGTAACACTGCCAAATGATGATATGATTTCACATAAATAAGAAGAAATCACATAGACTATAAAATGTTTTAACAGGCATAGAAAGAGGCAGCCATAAATTATGAATCTCTAAGTGAAACACTATTGAGCTTATTTGGTATGGCACTTAGCACAAAACTACTTGAAGTGAGATTCTTAATGAATAATAGAATTTCCAAGTTAGGAAAGAATGTTAGATCTCATTTATTCCAAGTCTCCTTATTTCAAACATGAGGTAACTACAGACAGAGAGAATAAAACATGTTCTCTAAGCTATATGGCTGGCTCATAATGACAGAGCCAGGTACAGAACCCAAATTTACCAAACCTTTGTCTTTCTACTATACAACACATTGTTACATATGTGTGTGTTATGAAATGGGAAGATTCTTTAAAATTAAGCATCAGGCCAACCCAGAATTCTCACTAAGTTATTTTCTTCTAACATTTATTCTTTCCTATTATCCCTATATTCATTTTTGTCTTTTTTTTTAGCCTTCTTAAAACCACATGTTTTAGAAAGTAGAATAGTGAATTTATTTTTTATCATGTTCATTTTTTAAGCCATTCTAAAGGAGAAAGGTTCAAACTTTAAATTAATCCTATTTTCATCTATCTCCTCTAACAGAAACAACCTCTGAACTCTAAATGCCTATCTTTCTTACTAGCCCTCTCTGAACAACCCCGTCCAAGAAATATATACCTGATTCTACCAAAATGAAATGAAAGGTAAATAAGTTGGTAGTAGATGACCTAGAAATTGAATTGCAAAGAAGCAATCAGAATTAAAAGTCCATGCTTATAGGATGATAACAAGGTAAGCCTGTGAGAATAATTCCTTTATTAACTTCTCAAAAAGGTTAGGCCGATATTGAATTGAATTTTCTCCAGTGATCTCAAACCAGAAACTGGAAAAAACAAAAAAACAAACAAACAAACAACAACAAAAAAAACTGAGATCATGACATTAAGAAAAAAAGGCTAAAGAGAAATTGAAAGTACTTATCCACGTAATTTAACCCCATTTTTAATACCTTGATTATATTTGTGTAGTCCCTTCACAATATGTACAGGTAGCATTTAAGAAATTTTACTGTTTTCATGGACATTGGTTTGAAAAATAATTACTGTAACCAGTTTGGGTTTCACCCATTTCGTCACATATTAGGAAATTGATACTACTTTGCGTAGCAACGATTAAATGTCATAATATAGATAATCGCTTAGCAAAGTGTCTAGCATATAGGTAAGCACATATAAAACTCAATTGTCACACGCCTCCGCACAGGTGAAGTGCCCAAGGTCTCACTCCCCTTTCGTGCTAGGCAGAAAAATGAGACACCCAGATCTCCTCTATGAAGACTGAGAATTGAGATATTTAGGGAGTGCACTATATCGGTGTTCTTAAAAGTTTTTTTTTTTATGTGTGTGTGTGTGTGTGTGTGTGTGTGTGTGTGTGTGTGTGTGTGTTTTGTTGTTGTTGTTGTTGTTGTTTTGGGGGCGGGAGGGGAGAGGATGGCTTCTAGCAAGTCCCTATAGCTGACCATCAGCCCCGCCTCCCTCCATCGTGTTCCATTCCCACGCACGCCGGAACTACATTTCCCAGCGGCCCTCGGGTTGCAGCCATAGCCCAGCGCCTTGCTTTCCGGCCGCACATTTTACTTTTACTTCAGTTTATTTCCGGAAGGCTCCTGCCACGGGGGTCGAGTTCCCGAACATGGGTACTTCCCTGACCCGGCCTTTTGAGATTGACAAGGTCGCCTCGGCTCCTGAGGCGGCCGCCTCCTCCGCTAGCCGCGCGCCCCTCGCCGCCCCCGGAGCCCCGGCCGCTCCGGAGCAGGCCCCCTCGCTGCGGGACTGCTGGAGCTGCCGCGTGCTCTCCGGGGCGGGGCTGATGGGGGCGGGCGGCTACGTGTACTGGGTGGCGCGGAAGCCACTGAAGCTGGGGTACCCCCCGAGTCCGGGCACTGTTGCACAGATGGTCATCGGCATCAGTGAGCGCCGGGGCAGGGCCCGTGGGGCGGGAGGGGGAGAGGAATGGGCACAGCCATGTGGGTGGGGGCGGGGCGCTCAGGCTGGAAATCGTGGGAGCAAAATTCCAAACAAGATGCAGAGATGGTGAGAGGAAGTTGTTGGGACTCTGACTTTTGATAAATCAGTATTTCTTAGCCCTATCAACAATAGCTGTTAGAGATAGTTATGTTCACTAAGACACAGAAGTAAGAATCCAGTTAAAAGTCAGACACCCATGTTGTGCTGCAGCTAACCTTATATCCTAGGTATATCTGGCACCAAAGCCCATGGGGTTTTTTTGTGTGTGTGTGTGTTTTGTTTTGGGTTTTTTTTTTTTTCCTCCAGGTCCTGGAGAAAGCCTGAGAAAAGGCACTTAACTTAGAACTTGGGCTTGGAAGTCAGATTGTAGACATGGGTTCAAAGCCCACATGCTAGGTATGCCCGGAGTTCCTGTGGCCCACAGTCCCTATCTGTAGGTGTACAAAGTGATGGTCAAGATGTCCAGTTAAATGTAGGGAGTCTCTTAGCTCCTGAAACCAATTATGTGAATAGAATTTTAGGTTTTCGTACCTCTTTGTAACTAGATTGTGCACATCAATTCCCTTTAAGTTCATGTCTAACTTGTGGAGACAAGTGGATTTTTTCCCCTTAGCTTTTTCTTTCCCTTTTCTGAACTTCATTCTTTTATATCGTCTAGGAATGTTGAGTTAAATAAGATGGTATACGTGAAAGCATCTGGTAAACTAAAATGCAACATCCATATAAGTACTGTTGTTTTTTTCCTAGGCATTGCTTGTTGGGGTGTAGTCATCCTGACAGACCCCAAGGGGAAGTCCCACCATTGAATTTGTCATCTGTCCCTGTCTCCATGACACACACAGCAGCCATGGAGCTTATGGATGTCTGGACAGACACATGGACATTGACATACTTCAGTTCTGCAGATACAAGACTGAAAAGACAAACATTAGTTTACAGTCTTTGGCCATGAGTATTTGTGGCCTTCTAGGGCTCCACAAGGACCAATGAATTCCTCAGAGATCAGAACCGGTTCTTTGTCTTACCTGGGGAAGGAGAGTATAATAAAAAATGAAATAAAAAAGCCCTCGCCAGTTAAGTAAGTTTGTTAAAGCGTCGTCCGAATAGGTGAAGGTTCCGGGTTCAATTCTTGGTCAGGGCATATATAAGAATCAATCAAGTAGAACAACAAATTGATATTTCCTCCTCCCTTCCTCTCTCTCTTTGATATCAATAAAAAGAGAGGAAGTGATAAACCAAATGGGAAAATGAACTAAAATAAGATCTTTTTACTTCAACCATAATGGGTCAATACCTATTTATTTAGCCCAACCTTGGGTAGGCATACAATATGCAGAATTATACAAAATTATATATGTACACTTCTCATATTTACTGAGACATTATCAAATCTGTCACATAAGAGTTTCAAAGCTACTCTGAGATGGTTATTTCATTGGTGGTAAGTGAACTTTTAAAAAAAGAGTCCTAGTGATTGGCCCAGGTTCATTCAGCAAGTCAGTGAGGGGCTTAAAATTTGTTCTTGTCTAGGTGTTCTTGTTTTAGTCTTTCATAAGTTGGATGGTTCCGAAGAGGCAAGCAAGAATTACCAATGGAACAATTAGATGACCATAAAAATAAACAGAATAATAGATTCAAATGCCAAAATATTTGAGAGGAATTCAATACCTTTTTAATTTTAAAAAGTTTGTGTCTCTCCTCCCCGCTCACCCCCTCCATCCCCCAAATACTGGAAATGTTTCTGTGATGAAATTGAGATGCTTATGAAATAAGGACTTAAAATTAGGCAGTTCATATCTAAGAGAAGTCTGCTTTTTTGTTGTTGTTATACCATGGCTTCTCTATAAAGTTATATGTAGCTATTTTTCAGAGCAGAAAGATACTCTTCAGCTGCCAATCAGTGTAAGTTGAGGGCTCTTTTTCTAGTATTATGTAGATGTGCCTAAGTCTGTTAAGCTTCATAAGTGACAGTAATATTCTTGCATTGTCTATATCAGAGCTCATGGTATGGGTGGTGCTATATTTTACCTTTGCAATTGAGAAAGATACCTCAACACAGATAGCAAGGTATTTGTGTGGAATGCACAATTCAGTTATGTGACATTAATGAGTGTAAACGTATTAAGTTGGAAGGGACCATACAGACCCAAGGCAGGATACCTTCTTGAGGGCCCATAATACATGATGATTCATCCCCTAAAATATCAATGAACAGTTATTCCTGCTTTAAAAGGCAAGCCATTCTAACGGATAGCTAGAGTCCGAACACTTTCTTAGGTTAAACAAAAAATACAGATACAACTTATTTATTTGACCTACTAGTTAAATAGAATAATTCAAACTTGCATGTACAGTGTGGTGCCAAAGTAGGTTTACAGTTGTATGTGAAACACAGTTTTTTCTTGTACTAGTATTTTTAATTACTATTTTTAATTGTATTATTTATTTTTTATTACAATTGTAAGCCTACTTTTGCTGACTCCTGTAACATCTTTTTCAGAATTTGTACTGCAAGGAAATGAGAGATTTTTCCAAATAAACTTGCAAGCTCACCTTATATATTGCCAAACTATTTGGTTCTTCTCAGCTGGGGCCATTTAATTATGTGAGAATAAAGTATTGTTCTATCATGTCTATAGGCAGTTACGTGGAAATAACCCCTCCCACATCCCCCAAATAAGTTACAATTTGTAGTTAAAAATTGTTTTTCTTTTGAAGGGTATTATAAAATTTGCTTTCTGCCAGTGCCAAGTCAACGATCCTATTTGTTGTAGAGATGACTTGTCTTTAGAGAAAAAAAGAAATTGCTTTAGTCCTGCCATGAAGAAAGTGCACTTACTGCCCCTATTATCTTCCACTTTGTTGGGTATGAAGTGGGGTGAGCAGGACAAACAGGCCCAAGAATCAATGGGTTATTCACTGAGTAATATAAGAACACCAGCTTAATTATGATTTATGGGCTTTAGAATCTCTAAACAGCATGGATATGAGAGTTTATAAAGACTTGTAATTACCGTTAGTAAAGAGGGAGAGAAAAGAAGAAGTACAAAAATGGGTAATTTAAAATGTACTTAAAGTTTTCCTTGTAACACAGGCCAAAATGTTCACATGCATGTGAACATTGACATTTTTCATGATGTCCAAGATACCTATTAGCTCAACCTTTACATAATATAAATGTAGGCATCTCAAGATGATCAAGAAAATCATTATGCAATTTCTTGTTTCTTTTGTGTATTGCATTGACTAGTCTGGAATCCTGTGATCAACTAACAATATAATATGTCTGAACATATTAAAGGAACCAGTATAGATTGACCATTAGATCTAGCTGTGTGTTGGAGAAGTAATGGGTCTCACGGTCCACCAATTACTGAGATAGCTGTGTTGTCAGCACTGGAGTGGTCCAAATACAGACCAGTTTAAAAAGTTCTGCAATTTCACCTGGCTGAGACCAACTGCAGAGACAGTGTTTCTGGCGGCCTAGAGGTTAAGCATTTCAGCCATAATTTATACAACTCCACCCTCACTGCATGTGCGTGTATATATATATATATATATATATATATATATATATATATATATATATAAAATTGATTTCAGAGATGAAGGGAGGAGAGAGAGAAGAAACATCAATAATGAAAGAATCATTGATCAACTGCCTCCTGCACACTCCTCACTGGGGGGTCGAGCCCGCAACCCCGGGCATGTGCCTTGACCAGAATTGAACCCGGGACCCTTCACTCTGCAGGCCAGCGCTCAATTTACTGAGCCAAACCACCTAGGGCCTCATTGCTTTTTATTACTAGATTCTTAGCCTGAGTGTCTGAATTAGGAGCCTCTTGAGTGAAGCCAGTTGCTTTGACAACATAAAACATATTGCTCCTAAATTAAATATATGTTCAGGGCAAGCATATGTTTAAGCACCCCCGCAAATCAGCCTTGTCCTCAACTGATTTATTGCTAGGACTACTCTTGATCAACCAGACACTTCACAAATTTTTAAGTCAGGAACAGTAAGCAATTTTGAGGTGAAAAGAAAAGTTTTAATGACCGATAAATCCTTGCCTTGACCCAATGATTATATAGGTAGGGGCACAGAGTCAAAGGTGAAAGACCTATAATGTCACATTCAGAGGTATCCTAAGAGCACCCAAAAAAATATTTCAGGCTTTCAAATGCATGTCTCTGCCTTAGAAATATCCAGCAACTTGTTATTCAAATGGTAATAGAGTGTAGAGCACATGTGTCAAACACAAGGCTTGCGGGCCAAATCCGTCCCGCCAGGCCTTGCAATGTGGCCCGCACCGCGCTGTCATCACTGCACTCCGCTGCGTTTCCATCACAATGACAGTTTATGACTGTTCAGTAAACCATTCGGCCCGCGATTTAGGCTGGATTTTAGATTTTGGCCCCTTCTCTGATTGAGTTCGACACCCCTAGTGTAGAGAAATAGCCCAAAGGGCAAATGTTAAATGCAGTAATGCCACTAACATGACTGAACTTGCTTCAAGAATGTGGTAGGCAGGATTCTTAAAATGGCCCCCCAGGCTCCCAGACCCCTACTGTACACACACTTTCAGTTATTCAATCAAACGCCATTTTAGGTGCCACTGTGAAGGAATTTGAAGATGTAATTAATGTCCCAGGTCAGTTGATCTTAAAATAGGAAGATTATCCAGACTGGCTACACATCTGAGCCTATTAAATCTTGGCTTAGAGGTCAGAGGCCTACTGGAGAAGTCAGAGATTAGAAGTAGGAGAGGAAATCAATGCCTGAGAAGTCCTTCCCAGGCCTAGGAGCAAACCAACATCTATGCTGTGAACTGCCTATTGGGACCACGGATTAGGAACTGTGGGCAGCCTGGAGTTTCGGAGTCACCAGCCAATTGCTAAAAGGGAAAACGACTGCTTCAGTTCTACAACTGCAAGGACATGAACTCTGCCAACAATCTCTGAACTTGGAAGAGGCCTTATGAGAACCAGAACTACAGGCCCAGCCAAGAACTATAGTAGTTGGTTTCAGCCCAGTAAGACCTTAAGTAGAGTATCTCGCCATGCTGTGAAACTCTGAGATAACGCATTTGTATTAAGTTGCCAAGTTGGTAGTAATTTGTTACACAGCAATAGAAAAATAATACAAGAAATATTTTGCAGAATCATAGTAATGATAGGTGGCATGCCAGACCAAATACACACGCCCATTGTGGATATCCTGGGAATAGCAGTAAGGGTCCATCTGAATAGTGTTTGCCTTTGCAGCTATTTTTACTTATTCTTTCAATGGTTGTTTTCTTTGGTAGTTTTTATTGTCTGTTTTCTAGCAAAATTGCCCCCTGCATTATGCTAAATGCTTTGCAGGATTGTTTAATCCTCTCAGCAACCCTGCTTTACAGATGAGATAACTGAGGCCTGGTGCAGTAAAAATTTCCCAAGGCCTCAACTGATAAACCAGTAGTGGCTTGGAGAAAAGTATTAATTGGGAACTGGGAATTTGTTCTGTTTTTAGCAGCCCTCCTCAGAGAGTTCAGGTATCAAAATTAGAAATCTTGAATTATTTACCATTTTTCCTCGGTTAGCCCTTAATTTAACAGGTATCATTAATCTCTTGGTTTTCTTTTTTTTTTTTTTTTTTTTTTTTTTTTTTTTTTAATAATTGAGGTTATATCATTTATCACTCTGACAGCAAATTACACATTAATCCAGAACAAGAACTTCTCCCTGAGCAGGCTCAGACCCTTCTATCACTTTCCCATAATCATTCTCCTGAAACTCAGACCCCATTTCCCAGCCACAGCAGGGGCTCCCACTTGTCTGTCTTTACAAAACAGAACCTCAACTTGTCCCAGATGAACTTATCTTTTGTCAACCTCGCCTCTAGTTCCTATCTCTTCATAGCATTTTTAGCTTATCAGCTAACCAAGCTGGGAACTATGATATTATCTATGACGTACTTTACTTTCATTCTTGTGATCTGCTAACAAGTCCTCATTATTTAACTCTTTAGA